CCGCGCCGCCCCCGCTCCCCGCGATTAACCCTTCCCCAGCCGCGGAGCTGCGAGCGGGGACCGGCATCGTCCCCCCTCCTCCCCGCCTCACCTGCGCCTCCCCTTTTCCCCGCCGAGCCGAGCGCAGCGGAACCCGCGGGATCGCTGAAACAAAGCCCGAAAGAGACCCCGGCAGCGGGGCAGCCCCAGCGCCCGGGGCTGCGCGTCCCGGCACCGCCGCAGCTGCCCCCGCACCTGCCCCCTCAGCTGTCCCACCTTGCGGGGCTGCGGCCCCTCCATCAGCGCCGGGAGGGAGGGGAGTGCGGGCTGATGGTTCCTGTTCCCGCTGGGCACCCTTTGCTCCCGGATCTGGTGGGAAGAGCGACACCTGAGCCCTCCCTTCCTCAGTTTCCCTGTCTGTGAAAGGCGCTGACAGCTTGGTTTGCTGCCAAGGCCAGGTCACCTCCAGCAGAGCCAAAGCTGTGCCTGTGTCACACAATCACTGAAGCCACCGACCTTCAGACCTCCTGACCTGCCAAAAGCTGTCAGAGCCCAACCACAGTGGCCACAGCCAGCTGGGACAGGGCACCCTGTGACCACTCCCTGCTGGGAACCAGGGGAGCCCACCTTGGGGTCGAGTGGTTCACCATGGAGACCCCACCCGGGCTCTCCTGCTGGCTCAGCACGAGGAAAAATACCTGGAAGCTGGAGGGCACCCAAAGTGAGTTACATGTTGATGCATCTTCAACCACCCTGAGCCCCACTGGGTGCCTGCATCAGCCCTCAGGGGCTTGGGAACACCTGGAACCAGGGAGGCAAAGCCAGCCCCGGTGCCACATCACTCCAAAAACCCAGGAGCACCACGATCCAGCTGCCCCTGCCCCAGCAAGGGGCATCACAGGAGAGATTCTGAGGAGTGCAACTGGTGGAGGGAATCAATACCATGATGGATTGCTGTTTGCCATGTCTTGTCATCAAGAATTTTTTAACAATTTATCTGTTACACGTTGGAAGAGTTGCGAGAGAAAATGAGAGCCATTGTCCTGGGCCTCTTCCACAACAAACCTGAGCAACAGAACAAACCTAATCTACTCTTACAGTTCCCCTCCTGCCTCTCTCACCTCCCCTGCTGTAGCACAGCCACTGAAGTGGCCTCACTGCATCTTCCCCAGGCTCAGCTCAGGGAGGGACACACCTGATGCTTGGTGCATGTCACAGCAGGACCCCGCAAGAGCAGTTTTTTGGGGGGAAAAAAGACACAGTTGCTGTCAGTTTTGCTGTAGAGAGTGTTCAGGAGCCCCTGGTGCAGGGGTCCAGGAGGGAATGCCTTTGCATCCCACTGTGCAGTCCCACATCCTGCGCTTCCCTCCCTCCTGGGAGGGCTGGGAACCAGATCCTGCACTGCCCCATCTGGGAGGAAATGACAGGTTGGCCTGTGTGCCTCCCCATCCCCACCACATTTACCATCCTTCAGGAAGGTTTTCCTTTCCAGTTACACCTGTACAGCCATCAGTGGAGCGTGGATAATCTCCCTACACAGCACAGCCCCACTCCCACAAAAAGGGTCCCCTCGACGTCACTGCAGCTCCAGAGCTGAGGACTTTGACATCCTGGAAAGATCTCCAGGTTGCAGCTGTTTAGCTCGGGAGAGGAAACAGCAGATACTCAGTGGATGGCAGCATTGGTTCCTGAGCAAGCTTTTCTCTTTCCTATTCTGTCCCCAGTACAGTTCCTGTGTTGCACATTCACAGCAAACGGAACCAGATCCCATTACAAAAACCATCCTTGGCTCAATTCACATCCCACTGATGCAATTCCTCCTCATGCAGAAGCCACACAGGGCGGGTCAGAGTGTCTCAACACCCATTTCTCCCCTCTTTACAGGCCTGTCTGCATTCTGTCTTCTGTTTATTATTTATTGATGGTCAATTATGCTCCTGTACAGAGAGTTTGTCTCGAGCTGATTACAGGATTGCTGGGCTGGGGAGCAACCCCAGACTTGCAGTGCAGCTCCTGCACAGGGCATGTGAGCAAGGAGCTGTTCCAGAACACAAAGCAGGTGGAGATTCACCTGGGTTTGCTCAGGTGATGGATGTGCTGCTGGAGAAATCAGAGACTCTCCTGAGTCGGAAGGGAGCCACAAAGTCCATCAAAGTCCAACTCCTGGCCCTGCACAGCACCATGGTAAGAATTAAACCATGTACCTGGGAGTATCCAGATATTATCCTTCTGTGGGTATTTGCATTCACCCTTTCCTGGAAAGGGTGTCAGGCCTAAGTGTTGGAATCAAGGTCTGGAGCTGTAAGGGAAGGAAGGACCTGCCTCTGATTCAGTCAAACACATCTGGTGACAGATGTACAGAGATGTACACACATGTACAGTGTCCACAGAGCTCCACACAACCTCTGCACACACATATTTACACACACTCCTGATATCACCACACAGAGGCACCGATTAAATAGCCAGGAGAGCAGATCCTGGTCCATTCCTGTCATCCTCCTCTCCTGAGACCCAAGCACCGGGGACAGAACAGACCCTTGGACCTGCCTGCAGTGCCCTGGGACCCACCTGGGTGCCAGCACCCCCTTCTTCAGCAGCAGGGTCACCAGCACAGGCACTCACAGCTTTGGAGAATAAACCAGGAGCTCGACAACCACTGTCCAAGCAGGGAAGATCAGCTACAAAGCCACCTTTAAAGTGTTAGCACACGACTTCTTATCCCTGTTTCCTGACACAGGGAGTCACACCCAGCACCCCTTTTCTGCAGGGCAGGATCTGGGCTGCTGATGACAGAGCAGTCCTTAAGAAGCTGGTGAAGCAAATCATCAGTGAAAGATTGGGCTCTGCTTTGAGCCCGTGTGTTGACAATTTCTCTCTGTCCTCATCTTTGATAAACTCCCTCGCTGCAGGTCATGAATCTGCCTGAGCCATGGGAAGTGAGGAGCCTTTCAACCCTCCCAGCACCCAGAGCTTCACACTTGCTAAAAGTCCTGGATAACGTGGCCTTAGACATCACCTGGGGCACTTCTCTTGGTGCCCACAGAGGCAGCAAGACCCAACATCTCAGCGTTTGCTCTGCATTTGCCATTCCCAGGGTAAAAAAAACCCCACATCCAGCTCTTCCCTGATATCTAAGGCAGGAAACAGCCTTTTTTTTTTTTCTTTTTTTTTTCTTTTTTTTTCCTCCCTTCCCTGTGACTATTTAGGACGTGGAAAGCACGTCCAGGCCTCTGATTCCCAGCTTGGAGCAGCCGCTGGAGCTGCGCGAGGCGAAGAGCACCATCTATAGGCGCCGTCTATAGGAGCCGAGCCGAGCGCGCAGGTGCCGGCGGCTGACAGCTCCCGGCATCACATCCACCCGTGCAAAAACTCCGCGGAGCTCATAATTATTCATCCCTAATCACTACAATAGAAGAATCATAGGCAGTTATTTAGAAATTATTGTTTCCACTCGGTTATTACTTGTGACAGTGAAAGGAAATATCAGATAGTCAAACCCACATGTATATGGGAAGCTGAGTGAAGGATCAATGGGAATTTAACCAGCACTTTACACTGTTCTTCCTCTTTAGAAGAACGTTGTCAAGGAATTTTTTTTTCTCTCTCTCTCTACTGTTCATAATACCTTCTTGGGAAATAAAAAGGATTTTTCTTTTCCTAGAGCACCTTATCCTCTCCCTTCCTCAGATTTGCTCATGACTGTGAGCTTCAGTTCCTGCCTCTGTATCCCCTGGTTTGAACTGAGCTGAAATTAACTCAGAAAGGCTTTTTTCTTTCTAAAACAAACCCTGGTTTCATTAAGTGCAAGGGCAGGAGAACAGAAAGTCTCCGAATCCTGAGTTAAAGTGTCTTGTTACTGTCAGAAACACAATTGCCGACAACGTCTGTGGTGAGGTGGTGTCAGAAATTCAAGGTGCAGACAATGTGCCATTTTTAATCATCTTCCCACAGCTAAGAGCTGAAATAAAAGGCATCACACAGGGAAGAGCACAAAAATAACCCTGCAAAGATACCAGCAATATTTGGTGATGTAGAAAAAAACCCTAAACACACCATGAAAACATTGGCCATATTGACCCATAGCCAGAAGTCACTGGATCACCTTCTCCTGGCCCTTCCTTTGCTCCACAGTGTCAACACCCGAGGTCTATACACCACACCACTCCCACCTCTTTTTTTTTAAACAAATATTCTGCTGCATCCTCGTGTTTCACACTCCCGAGGCTGCACATCTCCCTGCCAGGAGCACGTTTTCCATCTCGGTCATAAGTCAAGCAAATCGGCCAAAGAGAGGTCACCTGAAGAGTTTGTCAACTCTTTGTGGCCCTGTGGTCTCACTCTGACACTCAGCTGTGTTCAGAAGTGTCACCAAAGTGATCTGTGAGCCCAGAACTGGACAGAGGCCCCACAACAGACGCTGGGGCTGGCGGGTGCCCAGGAACAGGGAGCTGAGCCCTCCCCTGGGCATCCATCCATCCCTTTTGGAAGCGTTGCCCATCCCAGCTGCTGACCCACGACCCAGCTGT